GTGGAGGGTGCGTGTCACAGGTGAAAGTGATGGTGGGTTGTGGGGTGGCTTTGGGTTTGGAGGGTAAATACATCTATGTGAGGTATCTGAAGTTACCAGAGGGTAACTATTCCAGAGGGGACCTCCAAAGTGCTGCCATCATGGGCTGTGACTAAGTAGCAGTAAGAGTTTTACTTCTTACTGCCAGGGAGGCATCCAGAGTGTTGTAACAGAGCAATATCTTGACTACTCCATGGAGTCCAAGACTTTCTACCTGCCTGGTTTTGGCCTTTTTCCTGCCAGGCATTTGTCCCTCTGCCTGTCCACTGCATTTGCACTCGGACATTGGCTGGGGCTGTTGGCTGGTGCGGGTCACCACGCTGCAGAGAAACACGCTCCGTCGCGTCCGGAGCGATGTGCTCGCTTTCATCGCTTGGATATGCGTCAGCGTGTCACTTTAAAGTAGTTCAAGTAAGAGATGTGGGAGAACAGATGAGGAGAAGGGAGGCAGGAAACATGTCATAAATCCGCAGTGAGAGGGACTCTGAAGTAAGAGAATTAAAGACTCTGGAAAACACATAAAAATCTGCTGTAGAAAGGGCACTGTCAATGCATCCTGTCAGTGCAGTTTGGTTTTTATTTCCTAGTGTGCAATATGATATAAAAAACGTTCACCTTTACTAGATGATCCATGGATGCCCATATTTCACATGAGATTTATTTTTCATGTGAATAGGCTTGGTGTTTCCAGACACTGGTGGATATCGGTCGCCATCCTATAAAATGAGGCCACCAGCACCTGTGGTCTCCCAGGGACTGTCTCTTCCAAATGCTGCTCCTCACACAAGGGCCACTTCATTGTTTCTGTTTTGTGTTTAAGTAGAGCTGAACTGAGGAATGTGGAGTTGAATAAAAATAATGGAAAAAGATCAGACTGAAATTATTGTCCTCCCCCCAAAAAAAATCCCACTTGTGCAATCATCAGATATGTGAGCTTTGTGCTTTCTCATATTCCTATTGTAAAAATAGAAAAAAACTTGAACCCACTCAAGTATTACAGAGGGTCTCAAATACTACAAAGAGTTTCTGTAGACATATGTCCCACTGTAGGAATTTGAAATTCCCTCAGCACCCAGAATATTAAGCAGTCTGGGGCCTGTACGTGTAGATCAAGATTTGTGAGAAAGGAACATCCTGGCTTGCCTAAAATGACTGATGAAAAGAAAAATTGCCAGTGCAGCAACCACCAGCCTCTCTGTCAGCCAACTATTCTCATTCAGCCATCCCCACGACCTTCACAGGACTTGTTCAACACGGGCAAAAGGCCTGCAGGCTCTGTATGAAAGAATCAGTGAAGCTAATGAACAATGAGGAGGAGGCTTTATACTGTGTAACCTACTTTAGGCATTATGAAAATTAATTTCTTTCCGAAGTGTATGACTGGACAGGAGGACCTCCTTCCCCACTTCCTTCCTTTGCCACTCTCTGTAGCTCCTTTTCTTTTTCCTTGGCCCACTGCTTAGTAGCAAGGACACATTCCAGTAATTTTGCTGGCACCCGATTGTGAAGGGTCTATTGCATGGCAATCCTCTATCTTCATGGTATTCCTGCAGACTGAAGTGCTGTGCCATGGGATGTAGATAAGGAAGAGACCATTGCACCAGGACTTCCCTGTGGGGACCCATGAGCCAGACAAGTGCATTGCTCCCTTCCACCCATCTTACTTTAATTTTTTCCTTCCAGCACAGCTTGAGAGCTATTGCTTCTGAGACTGCATTTTCATTTCTTCTGTTTCATTGCTACTCTGTGCTTAATGTATTAGTGGTGTGAAGTAGAGAGGAAGGAAACAGAGGGGAAGCACAAGGAGCAAAGTAAACATCTTCAGGGAGGTAAAGACTGCACAGAGAAACACTCACTCGCCCTTTTCAGACAGGGATTTTACATGCTTCAGCTTTGCATGACAGTTTGGTGTGCAGGGTTACCCTTCCAGGCTGTGTCAGTAGCCACAGGGATTGCAATGCCCTATGAGTCAGGGTCCCACACACTTGTCCTTTATCATGCCAGGCCACGTGGGACCTGCTTTCAGCTGTGACGCATTTGAAAAGTATAGGCACTCTGTCTTTTCCCCAGTGGTGGAGTTTTTGGAGGAGCAGTTTCCTACATGCTATGGCTCAGATCTCACCAGTAGATAAGACTGCTTTGGCTTACAGCCTTCTGGGTGCAGAGGTGATGTCCATCCCACAAAACCGTAAGGTGCTGTGAGAGCAGGCAGGGCATAACAGACCCTGCTGTTATTTGCCAGACTCCCAAAGTCACATTGTCTGTGTGTGCAGAAGGACCCACGGAGTCTCTAGCCTCTGTTGTGATGAAGGGCAAGGTCAAGCTGAAGTTTCCTTTGGGAGAGCCAGCAACCCCATGAGCCCCAGCCTGGCTGAGGAGACATGGCACAACCCCACAAAGCCCTCTCACTGCTTGTCCAGGAAGTCTGTGGTCCTCTGCAGAGCAGATGTATGACAACTGACAGAGAACAATGATATCATGTATTTGCCTGTTAACCAGGGAAGTGGGTAACTTTAGTGACCATCAGCAGAACAGCCAGCTACAGGGTGGGTCACTGTTAGGGAGCTGTGTGTCTGTGGCTTTACTCAGGTTCATTCTGCATTTCCTTCTCATTATTGTACAGCCATTCTGGGTGGGGGCTCAAAGTGACTTACTCCTTTGCTAAAACTAGAACCAGCATCAAGTGCTGCTCTGAACCCTCCTGCCTGCTGCCAGTGTCTGGCTAGTGCTGTTATGTTGGGAGAGCCCTATTTTTGCTTAATCACAGCTGGAGGCCCCACTAGCAGCTTTAACACTTCTAAAATTTATCATAGCCTTGAGCTGGAGGCATAGGCCATCACTGGCTTATTTCATGGTTCCTCTAACCTCTGCATTTTTCAATGGCTACAGAAGTGTGTCTGCTTCAGTATTTTCTGAACTAGCTGTGCTTCATCCATGGGAGAGAAGCAGGAGATCTCACATGCAGACAGCCTCTTCCCAGAATCTTAACAGCTGCTCAGATTATTCTTAATAATCAGATTAATTTTAACAGATTTCACCCTGATTTTTTTTTCTTCAGCTTTGATGATCTGACTGTCAAGTCACAGTGTGTGGCTGCTGCACCTGTGCTTTGGAGAGGAGCACGCCCTGAGTCCAGTGTAGGGGGGCCATGGGGGCTGCAATGGGCACCAGCAGCACCACCGGTGACTTGGCATGGGCTGGCCCCTGACTGCTGCCACTTGGTCCAGCTGGCTGTGGTCTGGGAGGGCAGAAATCAGCCCAGGACCCTGGGGTGTGAGCTGGCTGTGGGGCTGTGGATGGGGAGGCACAAGGTAAAGAGCTGAGGTGGAAAGCATGGCCTCAGTGGATGCACATGGCTGAAAGATGAAGATACCCAGTGAAATGGCAGTTACATATGGAAAGAGGGGATGGTCTGGTGCAGGAACAACAGTACAGAGCCTTTGGGGACACAGGGACAGTGGCCAACCAGGATGCCCAGCATAGTAGGCAGCCATGGCGAGTTCCTCATGTTGCCACTGGCCAAGTGACACAAGCCACATAAGAAAAAAAAAATTTTTTGGAAGGAAGTGCAGAAATAAGTGTTTCCACCACTGGCCCAGTCGAGCTACCTCAGGGCACCATACAGCTTTTTGGTTAAAATATGCATGAAACAGAATATGCCATTGTCCTTACATATGCACGCCCAGTCTGTGGCTCCAGTGCAAGAAGGGCTGTGGGAAGCACAGGAGGGGTTAAGCTGTGCAGCTCCAAACACACTGCATCGTCAGAAACTGGCAAGAGGAGTGGGGGGACCTGTTCCCTTGTGAGGCTGGAGCAGCTGTAACTGAGGGTCCCGCAAGGGTCCCGTGGGACCGGGGGCTGTTGCTGACTGCTGCCCCCAGCCCCTTGGCACGCAGCCCAGCCCAAGACGTATAAACCAAAGAAGCATAAACAGATGATCACATGAAAAATATATCATGATTAGCCAGATAGATCCCAAATGTTTGTTCTATAAACTGCAGCAGGCAGCACAAGTGTTCACTGCAGCTGTAGTTTCTCATCTTATTTGTGTAAGTGTGCCATTAAGCTTAGACATGGGCAAAATAATCTTTCATTGATTTAAGAAGCTGCTTTAAAGATATATTATATCAATGTTTGATTCAACCCTTTTGCAACTGGTATTATACCGTAAACTGCTTCTTGCTTAATAGAAAATCTTTGTGCATGTTTTCTCCTGGGTTACTTCCTTTTCTCTCTGAAGCCAGTAAAGTGGTTTGTTTTGTGAATGAAAGCTGGATGCCTTTAGCAGGATGGCATTAACACTGACCTCTGCTCATGCATTGAATTCCTGCCCAGTGGGAGGCGAGTTGGAGGAAAGGGTTAGTTCATTGATGGTCAGAACCTGCTGAGAGCAGGACTGTTAACCTGCCTGGAAAGGGAACTACTTAGAGGGCTTTTCCCTTTCTTGGATTAGCCCAATGAAGCCATCCTTCTCTCCCTTTAGTTTTAACCATCTGCTGGAAAGATGGTTCTGATTCATCTCAGCTTGGTAGAGATTATTTTTGTATATATAAAATGGCAGTAAATTTGGGTGTGGGGTGTGGAGGAGGTATACACTTTAATTTTCCTGTTGCTACTTCCTGTATCCGAGAAGGCTATCTGAATTTCACAGCATGAAATATTTAGCAAGGACAATGCAAAGAAATCAAAACCAAACTCCTTCAGGCATTTCCCAAGAAATTTAGTGTGGTTTATGCCCCTTGGTCATAAAATGCATCCTGTAAAAAGGGTAAGCAGGAAAAGAAAAATTTTGTGAAGCTGATTGCCTACAGCATCTTCTGACAACTAGTGCATGAGAGTTGTTTCGAGGGAGACTGGTCTATAATTTATAATGAAAAAGTATTGTGTAAAAATAGCAACTTTACATTTGATAGTTTTATCTGCTGACTATGGTGATAAAACCTGTGCTCTGCTTTATTTAGAGCTGGAGAGGACACAGAAGACAAGTCAAAACCCAGAAGGTTCACACAGCACAACTGTAAGTTTTGTCTTCTTTGTCCTTCAGAGCCAAGGGAACATTTGGAGAATTTTTACACAATCAGCAGATTCATTAACTAATCCTTCTCTTCCCTGTCACTTTGACTACCAAATTGCTTCAGGTGTAGGTGAAGGAGTGACTGTCTTGAAAGAAGAGTGCATAGACCAAGTCAAAGTTTGGCTATAGCAATTAGAAACAGAACATCTTATTTTAGCTCTCCCACCCATGTCAATCAAGAAGAAACCCACTGAAGCATCAAGAAGAAATCCGTTAAAGTCAGTGGAATTGCACTGGCATAAGGTTGCTTTCACTGAGATTAGGGTCTAACTTTGGTGTCTGTTTTATTTGTAAATTGAGCAGATAGAAGCCACTGGGAGATCATTAAATCGGAACTCAGAAATTTTCATTTCCACTTGTTTTTTTTGAGTAAAACCATACTTTGTTATCCTTGCAGAGTCTACAAGGACTAGTTTGAACTACTCTCACCAGCTAAGACAACACTTCTTCTCTACAAGGTGAGCACGTTGAATAAAGCTCATCGATGTAGTTGTTTCTTTTCTTTTAATTCACCTCCTGACCTTTTAAAATTACTTTACTCAACAAAGGACAATAGGGCCAATCCAACTCCCATTAAAGTCAGCAGGAGTCTTTTCATTAACTTCAGCTGAAGTTGGGCTGGGCCCAATAAGACTAACTTTAAGAGTAAAAAATAGCAACTCATATAGAGCTTTATCTTGCCCCCTGTGGCTTGATAACTGACCTCCCATCATGTTCACTGGGACAGGATCAGGCTTATAAAGCCAAGTAAAACTATTACAGGCCTAATCCTATAACCCAAAGATTATAAAGTATTTGAATTTCCTCTTTTTAATCACGCTGGAATATTTGAGAACTATTCATGACTTTATGAATAGTGAGGAGCTTCCAGCTGAACAGATTGGATTTGTCTTTGGGTTGCTTTATGCCCTAGAGGTTTCTGTTTTTAAAATAGGAAGATGACAGGGGTAAGGGGCTGAAAAGATAACCTCATGTAACTCCTTCACTCTTTGGTACTTTTTTTCCTACACAAGCGCCATTCTACTTCCTTGCCAGGTCATCCCAGCTCAAATCCTCTGCACCATTTGCTTTCCCAGAAGAAAGTGCCACTGGTCTTCTCTACCTGCTTGTCCTAGATGGAGCAGAGCAGCATCCAGAGAGGTTAAGCTGGGGCAGAGTTGCCATGTGGATGCCTCTTGGTCTAATGGGAGCAGGCAGACTGGATTTTGTTCTTTGTTACACCTTTGCCCCAAGACGTTCAACATTTGCTTTCTAATTAATGCTTAGATATACCACAACAGTATAGTTCCAATAGTATAGTTGTTGGAAAGTTCCAGCAACTCACAAACTCAGCCTGCGATGTGGATTTTGCTCTGGACGTGACACGAAGCTGGTTTTTTTTTTTCTCTTTATTGGTTTTTCATTTTGCTCTTTCCCTCTCTCTTTCTAATTACCTTACAGTGAATCTCCATGGAAAACTCTGTATCAAACACACTGATTTGTTTCGCCACCAAGAGAAGAAAGGTCATTTGGCAGCTCTTTGAACTGTTGTAAAAAGCCCACCTACTTGGTAGGTTCTTGTTTTATTCTGGAGATTCTAGATCACAAATTTTGTATTTGTTAAAAAGTAATCTATTCACTGCCATCTGTAGGGAGCATGTTCTGAAGTCAGAAACATACCCTGCCATCAGAATAATTTGTAGCAGCCACCCAGGGAAAAGTGGGCTTGGTGACGCAGCCACGCTGCGAGGCAGGACGCAGAGCCGCAGCGAATGCTGTTCTACCCTCAGCCCTGTGTCACAAACCCTTCCCCTGTTTCAGCAGAATCTAAATTTACACAGTCCTTTAAATATAGACACACAGTGTATTAGAAAGAGCTCTCAGATATCCTCAGCTTCTCCATGCACGAGGAGGAAGAGGCCCCCTGACTCCTGACACCGTCAGCCCTGGTATTCTCTGCGCTCACCCAAACGCATTGCAAGCATCAACATCAGTCACTTCAAAGAGCTCTTTCATGTACCACAAACTTTTTTATCCAGAAGGCCCAAGCAAAAGGCAGATCTGGCTGTGTCTGGCTTTATTTGGCTTGCCACTTGTGTGGCCCCTTGGAAAGGTCTCAGAAGAGTGAACAAACTTTCCATGCATTTTCAGCAGCAAGTACAAGATACAAAGCTTTTTCTGTCACTTGTTGTTAGCAGCGCAAGGTAATTAATGGATTTGTGTTGCTCTCGGGTGTGTTGATGCTGCTGAGGAAAGAGTTCCTCCCCCACCTACACTGCAGAGTCCAGCTCCCTCATTAGACAGCGCCTGGAGATGGCTAGATTTCATTCCTCTCTGCTGAGGCTCCTGCTCACATCTCAGGAGGGAGCCTGCCAACCACACCAGATGAGGCTGCGCTCGTGGCACACTCATGGCACTCAGAAAGCAGCTGGGACTGTGCCCAATTTCACCATAGTGGGGTTGCTCTGGGAAGCCGCCTGCAGAGAGTCAGCTCTTCTGGGATCAATGTTTTGATGAGGACAGCACAATCCCATTTCAGGAGTGTCTGTGTAGGGAAGCCTGGTGAGATGTGCGCACCTGTCCCACCAACTCACCCTCCCCAGTCTTGTGGGTGCTCATGAAGTGAGGATTTCTGCTCTCCAACCCTTCTGATACCCTATGCAGCAGCTGAAGGAGATAACCCAGCAGTGCCCCTTTTGGGGAAAACTGTGATTTTGCACATCTCAGATGGAGCACACCCACAGGAACCTGTCTGCACCACACAGAAAATCCTGTTGTCAGATCCTTACTGATGACAAATTGTGTTTGACAATGTTCAATATTGTAAATCTTTTCTGCACAATTCTTACTAACTTTATACAACAGGCACCTAACTTCAGGGCCTTAATCACTCCCTGTTAGCTCTTCTGTCATCTAGTTCACTCTTTGAAGAAGCCCTTGCTCTCTGCTAAGAACAGAGAAAACCCACCAGAAATAGACATTTGATTTGGAGAGTTAGGTGCCAAAAGTCAGTTGAGATAAACCATTTCAAAAATTTCTCATTAGTCTTTTCCCCAGCCATTTAGTCTCCTGTGAAGAGATCTGATTGAAGATAATAGCTCACTTTCTTAGGAATTTTCTGATGAATTCATGAGAGCTGATGCCATTGCTTACCATTCAAGTGGCACCTAAAGCAACAGTTGTTCTTAGTGATTTATGTAGATGCAAATATTCTGGTAAATTCTCTGGAACCTCTGTGGGGGAGACAGGCCAGATTCTGCACTCTCTTGTTAACTAGAAGCCAGGAGAGAGGGGAGTGCACATTCCAGATTTGCTGAATATACCTTTGTTGGCCAAACGGGTCATACAGCCAACAGCCTGTTCCATGCTTTATCCTGCTTTTGTAGCCAAATGAGAAGGGCAAGGCATATAGCAGGAGGTTGTATTTTGCTCTCTTGATTCTTATTAGAAGGTTTGAAGTGTTTTGTTTATATGTTCAGAGAACAGAGGCTGATTCTCTTCATGTTTGTAATTACTTGGGTATAACTGGCAAGAAAGTTTGTTTTTCTCAACTAGAAAGCAATTGTCTGTAGCCAGTCACATATAAAAGACTTCTGGTACAGTTGTATCCATTTCTCTGTTCCTTGAATTTTAAGCAAAAAGTAGAAGCTGATTCCCTAGAGGGTATCATACTCTCTGCTGCTGCAGACTGTTGTGTACTTACCAAATATATTGATTTTTCTTTGGACCCAAAGATACTGCTTTTTTTTTTTTTTTTTTTAAATGGATTGAATGTGACTGCATATTTCTAAAATACTCAAAGGTGGAACAACCACAAATGTATAATTAATTAATTGTTCTAGCCATATTTACTACAGAAGTTACCAGGGCCTTGGGTGGAAAACATAAAAACATATCCCTCCTGGTCTGGGCATGCCAACATCTAGTATATTTTCATTAAGTTACATGATATTAATGTTTTCAGGAATCACTTGTGTTCTTCCACTCTGCCTGCCAGAAGTGTTGCCCAAATCCATTCCCTATATAATCGTGAAGGAATGCTGTTCAAAAGATTTGGGGTCAGAAGTGCTCAATAAATCAATCCAGATACACTCCTAATGAGTGGTGAATTAAACAGCATTTGCTTTAGGATCAGAGGTCCTCCTGGGAGATTATTTTTTATTGCTAGCAGGATTGTTCACTTGCAGGTATCAGGAAGCTGTGAGTTAAGGTCTGCTAGGAAGGTCTACAAAAGAATCTGTGTCTTTACTGAATGCATGTGATTATGTCCAGACAACAATGATATGTAGGTGAGACTCATCCTCCACTGGAATACCCTGTTTCCTAAATTAAGGAGGAAGAAAAATTTTGTAGCTTCATGTGGGATAAAATTGTTCTACATTTATATCTCCAGGTTCCAGTCTTGCGGACCACAAGACAAGAATTTAGAACAAGGAGTGTGAAGAAAACAGCTGAGGTGGAAAAGGGATATTTAGAGTCCCTACTGGCCAGCAGGAAAGGCAGCTCATTTAACTACTCCGAGGAGTCTCTGCAAGGCTGGGCTGGACATTTTTCCTGTGATGGGGAGTGAAGGCTAGAGCTTTTTGCCATCCTAAGGGACAATGTGCAAAATCGAAGGCAAAATGTCTGAAATAGGAAGGATGTTTCTTGATGTAATGTTTTGTTTATTTCTAGCTTTCTACACTTTTGAAAATTGGTGTTTTTTCAGAGCATTAGAAATTAATAATTCCAGATTACTGTCACTCTCAGTTCCCATCACCACCCTTCACTGGGTAGGTCAACAGGTTCACTTGTGCATGGAGGTAGCAAATGGATATAAAATGTCCCCATGCAGCCCAAGTGGCATCACCAGGAGCAAGTGAGAGTCCCTGAAATAGCAGGAGAGGATCAGGGAGCGACAATACCTAGGGAGCTACACTTCATGCTAGGAGAAATTAGGAAACACATGCATATAAGAGGACATGACCATCCATCATCATTCAATATTATCAGGATATGTGTAGCCAATTCCCTGTCATGTTCAGAGAAACACAGATCCCTTCTCTTTGCACGTTTTTATATTTTTATCACACATTGCTCACTTTGCATCACATAATTTAATGTAATTCCTAGTTTAAACAGATAGTCTCACATTGCATTTTTTGTCACAGTACCACATTTGGACACAAATCCCCCACAACACAGTAGTGTAATACACAACTATGGAGGGGAGACACATGGATGACGTGACTTCCAGGTGAAGGATGTGGATACAGAAATTTGAAATATCTTCTTAAGAAACAAGGGCTTTGAAACCACGGTTTCCAGAGAATATTTAGCAATTCATGTTCTGGAACTCAGACTAAAATGAGATTTTAAAACAAAGTGTAGATCAAAACTTGGCATGTTGTTTCTGTGGAAGTGCTAACATTTCCAGACAGTTTCTTGTTCTGTTCTGGGTTGGAACAAAGCCTAAAAAAGTTTTACCTTTCCAGTGGAAATGAAATTCTGAAAATATTTTGTTCTAGGAAGCTCAAAACATTGTTTTTTGCCTTTTCCAAAATCAAAGGCAGCAGACGTGCCCGTGGGGAGGAGAGGCATGGTCCTCTCAGGTGGCTGCCATGTCTGAAGTGCAATGGTGTCAGACATGACTCCACAGCATTTCCTGGATGTTTCTACGATGTGTGGAACATAGAAACTCCTCAATCCCTTTCTTCCTTGGGCCTCCAGACCGGCCATCAGCCCTGCTGTGCTGCAGGGCTGGGAGCTGCAACCCCTGAACTGGAGCTGGGCATCATCTGCTGCCAGAGAACACAGCCTGCGAGACTGACAAGGAAACTCCAGCCTGCGTATGGCAAAAGTTTCCAGAATGAAAAATATTTTCATGAAACTTCTTGGCTTTGACATATGCCATGAATCAATCACCAGTTCCTGACTAGTTAGAAACTATTTAGGTTTGGTGGGTAGTGAAAAACATTATGGGTCTTGGACAACAGTAGTGGCTCTTATGCCAGTCAGCAGTGGGAGAACAGGGTTATATCAAAGAGATTAACCTGTGCAGGAAGTAAGAATTAGCTTCAAAAATCCTGAGATGACCCTATGGATGTATACAAGCCCAGGGAATGTCAGTGATGGAAGTATGAGTGTGCAACTCGTGTGCAACAGGAGAAGGACTGAAGACCTGAAACAGTCCAAAGCAGCCACACTAGCGTTTGGGTTATTTGTATTGGTTAGTCATCTACATCTTTTCACTGGTTTAGATTTCACCCCCTTTTGAAAATGAGTTTTGGACTCATAAGTTATCTGGACACTTTTAATAGTTTTATCTCAAATTAATAACTCTTCCAAGAATAACTCCAGTATTTGCACATTCCCTATTTTATAGTAGGTATTATTTATCCCCACATATGTCAGTTCAGAAGGACAGACCATTTAGGAAAAGATGTGGCTTATTATATAGCAGTGATGGATGGTTTCTTTATAGAAACCACTTGCATGTGAGAGAACAACTGTTGTGTATTAAATACATTCCCTGTATTATGCATAGAGTTCATACCTGTCATTGAAGTAAAATCCAAAAGGGAAGGAAAGAGCAAGAAAGCTTATAAAAGTGCATTAAATATCCACATAAATATCAAACAGTACACCATGATTTTTGTTATGACAATGAGCATCTATGGAAGCCATGATGATGCAGTGCTTGAGAAACTTGGCAAATGCACTGGAGCGCCTGGGACGTTTTGTTCCTGTACTGAAGAAGGATGAAAACAGCATATGGAGGGGTTGGTTACTCATAAAACATTAATAGCTGGAGATTTGCCAGATCATTATTATTTTTTTCTGGGAATGGTATTAGGTATTATTCAAGGAGATAAGATTTTCTTTCCGTATGTCCATACCAGTTGAGTATTGGAAGGTGAAACACATACCTAGGGGATTACAGGCCCAGAAAACACCTTTTCCAGGAAAACAATCTGAGTGAATCACTTACAGACAAAAATGTGTTGAAATGTTAAACAAGTGCTGTCTTGATTTAATGATCTTGTTAATTATAAAAAAATAACCACCTCCATGAACATGCAGACAAGTTAAGACTGATATTGTTTTACAGAACTAAGGGAAACAATGAAACTGGGCACATAACCTCAAACTGTTCTGAAAACATATAAGGAAAAAAAATGGTCCTGTGTTATTCTGAAGAATCAGAATTGTCTTAGCCTTGTGGTTTCTGCTACAGGCCAAATGACAAGGACACAGCTGAGACAATCTCCAGGTGCCAGAGTTGTTTCCAAACCTGGAGCCAGACAGAATTTCTCTGAACATGTCTTGAACCTCAGAGACAGCACAGCTTGGCCACACCCTCAAAATGAGGCTCATCCCAGTGTGGAGACTGCCCAAAGACACTCCAAGACATGCGAGCATGTCGTTTACAATGCAATTGAAACATTAACCCACCACACAGGCTCTCTGCACACTTCCTCATCTAGTTGTTTACAATTGTTTTTAGGGTCCTTCACATGGCTTCCCTGAATTCTTCCCTAATTCCCTGAACTTCTCCTACCCACAAAGTGGAAGGAAGGCAGTGGGAGGGTTCTCTTGCCTTCCCTTCTTGAATGGGACATATGTGTGTGTGTGTGTATATATATATATATATATATATATATATATATATATATATATATTTACATGCATATCCTCAAAATGGGACTGGGAGATTTAAAAGAGCAAAACCTCAACACTTGTTTCTGTTGACAGGACAGGGAGAAGAATAGCTGAGCTGTGAGGGCTTGAGACAGACCCCTGCCAGCAGCAGAGGAGCACAAGAAGCTGACTGCACCAGCTGAGATTTCTTTGCCAGTTATAATTAAGTAAGGGGAAAGTATTTGTTACAAAAATTTGCATTTAAAGGTTGAGAAAAATGGAGTTCTTGTGTCCCATAAGAACCAGGGGCCAGCAGACATAGGAAGAAGAGTAAGCTTTGGGCTAAGATTTGAGTAAGAGAGCATGAGGAAAGAGGGAGAGTTTCTGGGAAGGAATATCTGACCAACCAGGTATGTCTCTAAGAGACACTGTCATGTTTTTTCTCCTTTCTTAAAAAAGCTGGAATACTTTGGAGATGTTCTGGGCAGTGAGGTGGTGGTAGAGAGGAAGTGGTATAAACAAAGAAAAGTGATGGCAGAAAGTATCTGGCAAGGTAGTGTTAGGCTGAATCTAATAAAAAGAGCATAGATATCTTAGGCCTTTCTGCCAAGCCATAAAAGTGATTACTTTTCTTGGAATATGCTGTAATCTTCCCTGAATCCACATGCATTTCAGGTGCAGGACAACAACTTTCTCCCTAGTTTTCTCTGAGTCTGGGAAGATTCACCAAATTTTCCAAGATGATACTTTATAGTTTTTCCTTTCTTTGTTTCAGTTCTTCTTGTAAAACCCATTTCTTTAAGCCCTGGTAAAGTCTGATAAGCAGAGAGGTTAGTCCTTCTTGCTGCTTGACATGGGACATTTAGTTCTTGGATCTCCAGACAGCAAGTTTAAGCTGGTAACACTGAATTTTCCCAGCAGAAAATCAAACCCAGCCCAGAGTGGTCAGACTGACAGTAAATAATTGCTAAAGGGTTGCATGAGTAGTCAAGCATAGATGGACATCTTTAGCATGTAATCCTTTAATCCAGGGAAATAAGCCAACAATATCACAAGTACAGCACATAAATGAGTATGTTTTGTTCTACATACACTCGTAAGGTATGTACAGGCATGTATTTAGGGAGAGAAGGAGGGAGAGGGCAAGAGTAAACACACCTGTGGAAAGCCAAATAAGGCAAGATAGGAAATACAAAAGCCCTGTTAGGCTCATGACCACTGGTGGCAAAGCAACTGCATCCCAGCCAAGGCTCCCAGGGGCTTGAAGGCAGCTTCAGCAGAGGGACCGGCCTTCAGACTTCCATTAAAAGTCCCTCACCCCGAAGCACTGACATATAATGAAGTCATTGCTCCAGCAAAAACCACCCTTCCCCTGGCTGAGATGCAGGGCACTGATACTATGGGACACCTTGTCAAGGAGCTGCAGATGGTGGCTGGCTGTTCCCAGCCCTCTTTTCCCTGCTTCACTTCCCTCAGGGATCACCTCTGCTGCCAGCCACTCTGTTGCCTGCAGGCAAACATGGACAGCACAGACTGCAGCCACTCAGTTGGTCCCACATGGCTCTGATTTCCAATTCGGCACAAGCCACAGCCACCAGGCCTGGAAGGCAATTACAAAGTCTGTCAAATGCTGCCAGTTACAAGGCAGCGTTCTGCTGAGAGCATGGCCTGGTAGTGATCACTACAGGCTCTTAACCCAGCCTTTTTTTCTTTTGCTTCAATTACAGGGCCTTGAAAGCATCTTGTGTTTTCAGTTGTGATTGTCATCACACTTCAATGCAGCATGTGCCATGGCACGTGTGTGAGCACAGCTGGGTTTCTATACAAAACCAAAGATATTTCGCTCTACAGGCCTGTGCATACAGTCCCCACAATCTGTTAACAGCCAAATGTGTTGGGCTACCATTTCCAGTGGAGGATCAAAGAGTACACTTAAGTGTTTCTAATTCAACATCCAAGTAACTACAGAAAGTCACAGGCAATGGGGGTGGCACGGGAGTGGAGGAAATGAGGTGTTAGAAGAGCGTCTTCGCTGGGTGCACATGTGCAGATTTGGCTGCACACGTGGGACTCACTGTTAGGGTACTGCAGCCAGAGACAGGGGTGTTCTCCTGACCAGAATAACCCTCTATTCCTGCTACGTGCCCTGGCCTAGCCACACACAGGAGAGCCCATGCTGCCTGCCTGGAGAGCAGCAGGGCTCCCAGGTGCCAGAGACTGAAATGGTTAATAGCTTAAACATTGCTAAGATCACCAAAAGACTTTTGTCCATTGTAGCAAACTCCAAAGAAACAGCTGCTCATCTACCGAATCTCACCCCTCCCTGAATATGCCTACTGATTTGGGCTGCAAAAGGACCTTGAGATAAGGTGGTACTATTGTCCAGCTATGCAGGTCACAGGAGAATGTATCCAAAAGTGTAAGAGATTGAATTGCTAACATTTGACCTCCTGCAGTGACTGCCCAGGTGCTGCAAGAGATTGGTGCTCATAGCTCAAGCAATCTGGGTGCCTGGCTCCTGGTGCACAGCATGGTCCCCAGGTGCAGAAGGGCAGGCACACCTGAGGTTACAAACTGGATTTCAAGATAAGGGAATAGGATGATAAGAGGCAGGTCCTGCTAGGTGGGATAGTCCTTATCATTCCAGCGTCCTCCCTTACATAATGACTCAGCTGTGAAAACCCTCCTGGGAGCACCAAGGACATTCAAACATAGCCTGAGCTATTCATCCCAGATGATGCACCATAATGGGTCCGTGATTGATTCAACTAGTGTGAGAGACAGCTGCAGACAGTCTTAGAAGGTGTCTAAGATGTCTAATACTGGATCAGGAACACTGAAGACTCATTGAGTGTTCCTGATCCAGTATTACATCATCCAGGGGAGGTACCGGGGGCGTTTCCACCTAGCCCCTGAGCAACATAAGCCCTATGAAAGGAGACTTTTGCGGATTTTTTTCCTATCACTTAATGTGTACAGCCTGCAACCACTGAGAAGACCAATAGGATGCCATCAGAATCTACAGAGTGGTGATGTCTTTTTGCTACTTGATCTGTTTCTCTGTCGCTCTCTTTGCCTTCCCCTTACCTCTCTCTACCACTCATTTACTTTTAAATAAAATCCATGCTATTGACTTCAGCATATGATTTACATCTTAATTTAGTCAGCGTCATCTCACGATTTAAAA